GTATATACACGCATGTTCACAACTGCTCACAAACAGGTGCTCTGATTCGGGGGGTTCTGACAGGTCACTGAGGGTGTACATAAGTCTGTGTATATACGGACAATATTTATGAATGTAGGCATGTATGTATGTATGTCTTTATATATGTATGGGTATGTGTGTATTTTTATAAATGCCCTCTATGTATTTATCCATTTATTTTCCAGGTGAGCGGACAGATGTTGGGTGTGTGGTCCTGTGTTTTGTTGGTGTATATTTAATATAATCCTAATTACTATTTCAGTCTTTCTATCTTTCTAATTACTTCTCTTTCTGTTTTTCTCTCTCTCTATTTTTACTTCACAAAAAAAACATAATGGTGTGGACAGGATGGCTATAAGGGGAGAAGGGAGGCCATCCAAGAAAAAAAAAAAAAGAAATTCACTGGTTTTGGCAGCAGACAATGTTTTATTAAATGTTTTATAATCACATAAACACATCTGAATCTGACTGTATGGGATTGCACTGGATTACATTAAATACAAACACTGAACTGGAATGTAAACACCAGTCACACTAAAGTTTAAAATGGTCAGAACAGCAGCACTGAACTAAATGATCATTTAGGGCTCTGATTTTTATGAGAAATAAACCATCTAAACCTGCTAAAGTGTATTTTAGTAACACAACAGATGGTGATCTGAGTGGTTAGGGTCTGTGATAAGGTTTTTTATGCTCAGGTGTTGTAACCTCAGAGGTCAGTTAGTAGCTTTAAATATGAATCTCATATCACATCTTCACTGGTTTAACAGTATTAAATTACAACACAGGTTGCTTTATTTCAGCACTGAATAAACTTTCTCTGGATTATTTAATTTTTTCATAAATAATGAAATTTAGTTTTTCATGTAGCAGTAATCTTTCTTTCTATTTTTAGGCTTTAAAGTAAAAATTGCTCTGTGATTTACTTTACATTAACCATTAATATTGCAAATGAAATTCTCTGATTAATAGAGACATTTTTTGCATTATATTACATGTTTTGTGACACCATCTGAACTTCTAAAATATGTTATTGTAGTCAAAATTTAAAGCCACCTCACTCTTTTAAGAAAATATGTTTTGTACAATAAAATAAGTTGTATATCGTTTTACTAGCCTGGTAAAAATTCTACACTTTGCTTATACGTACATACAGATGAGCAGTGAAGGGAAACTAGAATTGAGCTGTGTAGGAAGGAAAGGGCCAGACTACCATTTTACAAAAGCATAAAAAACTATTTAAAGTATTCTGACAAAAAGCAAATTAAATAGTCTGTTTATTGTAGTTTTTTTTTTTGTTTGTTTGTTTTGTTTTTCCCCCCAAGTTATTACTATTAATAAAGCTCAAAATAATAGCAGCAGGCTACTTTTCATCAGTAATGAAACTTCAAAAGTCAATAATCATAGGTCAACATAAAATAAACAAGCTGTTTCCGGTTTAAAAAATTTCAATGAGGGGTTGTATTTTAAAGGTGAAAGCTGATTGGTCCATACATTTTCGACTTCTTCCTGATTGGTCCACCGAGCGGCTTGAGGCACCTGCTGCACCTGTCGCGCGACCTGAAGAAAGTTGTAGAAGTTGGAGTGGGCTGGCCCATTGTTCGAGCCCGGGGAGGGGTGGGCGGCGAGTCCGGAACGTCCAAGGAAGGAAAATAAGAGCGGTCGGACGGTCCCACCCCTCTGTCAGGGAAGGAATGGAGCGTTCCAGGARCACCAAACGCTCCGAGAAAACTTTCCGAACTCCTCCGTGTCATCCGGAGAAATGATAACTAACAAAAAATATCACAGAAATCCTCCGCAGGATCAGAGTCAGCCTGAAGAGTTGGTAACAAAATGTCGTCGGAAGTGAAAATGACCCGGGATGAACTTTTAGAAGTTGACATATGTGACGGTGGCGGGTGTTCCGAGGACGAGAGCGGCGTTTTCCTGAACTCCAACTCGACCTACGATGATTTCTCCGGCTTTCAGCAGTGGAACGACCCGGCCGACCGGAGCGACCCGACGAAGGACACATCAGCACCAGAGCAGGAGGTCTCCCGGGAGCTAGCAGCTCCGCCTGGCGCCGTTACTGCCGCCGGAAGGAGCAGCGCGGGCGGTGACAGCGACTTGGAATCAGATGGTCTCAGGAGTCCGAGGACCTCCATAGTGGACTGTCTGCTGGTGGAGCTGTATGACACATACAGCGGAGGCGGCAGGAGGAACGTGGACAGCTGGGACAGCTCCACGGAGGCGTCCGGTTCGGATGCCTTCCTGGGCCGGAGCAACTGCGGCTCCAGCTTTCTGCAGGAGCTGCAGGAGAAGCACACCAGGAGGCACCAGAAGAACTACCTGGCCCAGAAAGGTGAGGGGTGCTGAGGCTGACTTCAAGAATGCAACCTGAAAAATAAGCTCCTGTAATTTTTTATTCTCTTTATAAATCAAGACAGTTGGCTTTGTTGGAGATCTTACCAGAGATTCACACAACCATATTTGTTTTTGTCTTGTTTTCTTGTTTTTCATAGATATCCAGGTATTTGTTTTTACATCCAGAGAGCCCAGAAGGTTTAAACAAAGCATAAATTATATGTCCCCTTTGGTAAACTCTTGGAAACAGTCATTGTGTGTAATCATGTAAGAGTGGGATTGGTTGATTGTGTCCCTGTGATGGACTTTGTCACCTGTCCAGGTTGTTCCCTGCCTCTGAGATGGGCACAGTTCCCCACAAGACCCTGCAGAAAAGTGGGATTCAAGCTGAAATAAATTTTAAMGCATCACAGACATTAAGTCTCCAGATTTGCTGGATTTATTTTTAAAAAGTAGCTACTTTAAAAATGTTTAAAGCAGGGGTGCCCAAACATTTTCCCTGAGAGGGCCAAAATTAAAATCAATGTGAGGGCCGCGGGCGAAACGCAAAAATATAAGAAATGCAAATACTTAAGTAAAGTTGTTTTTTTAATGATTAAGCTAGCAGCCAGTGTGGTTGCCTACATCCTTTAGTTTTTTTTTTTCAGCCCATGGACATGGAGAAAATGGAACGTATGCTCAGGCAGCAAAGGCTCATGGGACTTTTCGTAATTTAAAATTAGAGTATATGTGGTCTTATAAGGTGTGCAAATCTATATATAGGCTTAAATCTAATCTAAATGTCTCTTGTAGTTACTTGTATTTTATATTTATGCTTAACATAATTACAATCTAGTAACCAGGACAACTGCTGGTGGGCTAAATCAAATGGCTTGGCGGGCCAATTTTGGCCCGCGGGCCCCACTTTGGGCACCTCTTGTTTAAAGTAAAGAAGTATAGCTTGCATTTCTGCAAGTGCTCACTTGGACCAGTTGAATGTTTTTTTTTTTACAAAAGCATTTCCGGATAACAGGCGTGTCGGCCTGATGCACAGGAAGCAGACTAATATATCCTGAAGATGGTCTCGTTCTGCAGCGTTACCTCRGAGTCTTCATCGGTATGTATCTGTGAGCGCCATTGTTTCCTCGGTTCAGGTGGAATCCGTCAGTAAACACAGCCTCATCGTGTGAGCTCAGTGTTTGTCCTTTACACACACTTGGCTCGGGCGGAGTTGAACAATGCAGAGAGCTGTCACTCAGGAAGAGGAAACTCTTTGATCATTCCACCTAGAGCTGCCAGAACATGTGTTTTTACTAATGTGTTTGCCTTGAAGCCTGATGATTGGTAATAAAAACTGTACATCCCGTTTTAATGTCAAATTTATAATAATTAGCCAGCCAAGCTGTGGTTTAAACAAATAAGTGACATTTTAGAACAAACTAGTAGAAAATGGTGAAACTTTCCTCTTTTCCTACATTGACTAACCTTCAACGAATGACTTTAAAATTGTAATTAAAAATACTAAGTATACTGTATCTGCTTGCTGTCGAGCATTTTGATTTGTGTGCAAGAAAAAGAGTAATTAAAAATGTCTCAGATTTGTGTCACAGATCTGAAATCTGTTTTTCCAGGTTACGTTTCTATCTCTCATATGAAACTAGTGTTCTGGTTTTCATTTTTGCCTGCAGCGTGGAAAACGCCGATTTTCTGATGTATCAGGGGAGAAAAGATAAGAGTCCAAAATGGCAAAGACCGATGCCGGGTTTGTTCAGATCTGTGTGATGGTTCAAAAACAGAATAAATAAATTATAAAACAACACAGGATGGTGTGTGTATCTACAGATCTGAGAAACAATTCTTTATAATTCAAAACGTGGGATGATATTTGAGATTGTTTAAGTCTTTTTTTATCTTTTGTCTTCTCCCAATTGACAATAAAAAAAAAACAAATCTATTATTTGTTGCCAGAATAAATGTTCTGTTTAAACACTCTAAATGCTTGTTGTTTCAGACCTGGAGGAGCTGCAGTCCATCATTCAGGAGGTCAAATATCGTTCAGGCCTGCAGTCAGCCAAGCTGCTACGGCAGCTGAAGAGACGCGACCGACTCTGCCACAAGCGGCAGAAGAACTACGACATCATCACAGCGTGTCTTCAGGCTGTATCGCAAAAGAGACGTAAGACTTACTCAAGCTTATGTTTACCACCAAACACGCTATAATCAATTATAATCTTATAGCAGCACTAATATTTTCTATAAAGCAAGGACTCGACGGATATGGTTTGATTAGTGAGTGTTTTTTGTGTGAATTTGAGCTCATTAGTTCTGCAGAGTATCTGTGAAATCAGATGCTGATGTGGTGACAGAAGTTCTGCCTCTCCATCTTTATTGAGCGCTYCCTAAAAGTGGTAAATGTGGTTGAGGTCAGAACTCTGTGTGGGCCGGTTGAGCTCGTCTGCAACAATCATGCCTTGCTTTGTGTACTGCGCTGCACAAAGTTAGAACTATGAAAGTATCCAAAATGTTTTTTGGTAAGCTGAAGCGTTGAGTTTGCCCCTCACAAGGGACTGAAACACCTGGATTCAACATCAACCAGGTGTGCCCAGCACTGTTGCTCATATAGAATGGACTTGTTGCCTTCAGGTTTGTAAATTGCTGCACTCGTTTTTTTTCACTTTTTTAATCTCAAACTTTTATTCCTGAAAAGGTTATATCAACCAGTATCTTAAATTATTGCTTTTCTGGTAGGTATGAATTTGACAGATTTACTGGTGCTGTCACTGAAAATGAAACGAAAGTCTGTCATTATGAAGTATCAAGCATTTTCTTAAAGCTCCATAGTTTTTATTACAAAGTCTGTTTGCAGACTTTTTTTTTTTTTTTTTGGATGGCCTCTCTTCTCCCCTTAG